AGGCTACAAGTAATGACTGCGATCATTACTATTCCCTTGTTCCACAATAATAGGCTGCGATAGACAACAGATATAAACATTTATGACTTGTATTGTAAATGTCAACATAAATACAGTGTTAACTGTAAAACAATGTATCGGTTATCACTTTAACAAACGACAAAGGAATAAATCTATACTGATATGGTGAAGCTGAATAGTTTGTTTATTTGTAAGCTTCTATCGGGTGGATTTGAAAAACATAGACGTACTTACTATACATATTGCTCCTTTATTGGATTAAGAAATTATGTTGCATGTTTTTACAAGAAGTAACGAGAAGTACAACTATTATTATTTTAATTATAAAACTAACAAAACCTGTAACCAAATTTACTAAAATCTGTCATAATTAACAGATTTAAAGAGGCCGTGAGTTGGTTGCCTAAGTAAGTTATAAATCAAATAAAAGTTTAGTCTCAATTTGGTTCCGATCTACTCTCGATCATCAATGTCAAAAATTGTATTCTCGTATTCAAATTTTAGACATCCAAAGTTGACTGTGATGTATTGATTTCGAGTTGTCATTGAAAGTTGAAAAGAGTTAGTATAAGATCCCGCTATATAACGACCTTCACCGAGCTGGTTAATGGATGAAAAGTATTTTATGGCGTTGTGGTTTAAGCGGTCGCCACGCCGCTTCCTACTACGCCGAGTGTTGTGGGTTCAAACCCCACATGGGACGACACTTTGTGTGATCCACAAATTGATGTTCCAAGTCTGGGTGTTATTTGTGTCCGTTTCATGTATGTTTGTAAAGTCCCCTGCGACACAGGATATTTTCCTAATGCGGGAGTTGTCTTTTTTTTTTAAACAAACATAAACAAACAAACAATTAAATATGTCAATAAATATATTGCAAATGGGTTGTCTAAAAATTTCAGTCCAGAATATGATGAATTAACAATTAAAAAAATGTTTTTTTTTTAACATTTCACTGGTTTGGTTAATAAACAAATTCCATACCAATCGAAAGTATGAAGCCCATTAAATATGCAAACGTTAGGTTGACTATAGTCACAACTCTTGGGTAGGCAGGTATAAACAGGTAAATCGATACTTGTAACCTGCACCGGTCAGGTTAATGAATTAAAGTTAAATTAAAATAAAGATTATTTCATTACGGACACGGTGGTATAGAGATGTCTGCGAAAAATCAGTCCTGAATTCCGGTTGTCGAATTATTAAAAGCGAAATATTGCTGCGAGTGAATACGAGAGGTCCCAGCGAACCTTCCCATGCGATAGAAGAGTACACAGCATTGCAGCTGTATGTAGTTCGTTCATTGAAAGAAAGAGAGTGCGCATGCCATAATTATATGTCTGATGACTCGGATCCTGAATAATTAAAAAAAAATTAAAACTTTGAAAGCGGTTTCTTCGAAGAAGTATGTCGGTTATCGAGGTAAAGCTCTCAGGGATAATATACCTATGTAACAGTGAAAGAATTTTCAAAATCGGATCAGTAGTGCCGGAGATAACCAAGAACATACAAACTCACAAACTTTATTGTATAGATTAGCTGTATGTATCCTGCCAGTCCTGGGACGCTTCGCACATTGTGGTTGCCATTTCTTTAAATAAAAGCCATCCTTGAGGCGGTTTGAATATTGTGTCAAAATTTGAGCTCAATCGGTACAGAACTTTTTGAGTTTTTGAAGTGTACACCAACTTAATATTTATATATTACATAGATACTGCAACAACTGAATCAATATTCAACATTTATTAAAATGAAGTGATTAATAAGACGTTTTTAGCTCATCGTGTTCCGATATGAAATCCGTGTGAAAATATTTTTTTACACATTTTAATTTTGAGAAGGATCGTTCACTACTGTGGTTGGTGGTCATGAGAAATAAATAAAAGCGCAAGGCAAAATCGAATGTTTAAATGAAATCGAAGAAAATTGAAGCTTCTGTACAGCAGCCTTCAGTGAACTTAGCAACCCGCACTTTTAGAATCAGTTGATCTACATTGGATATATCGGGAGTAAAATCCAATAACACTGAGTACTTGTAGTATTTGCAGCTATTCATTTCGCAAATAAGTTGATTTAGTATGTTTAATGCAATTAGATTGATAAACACCTCACATGTTGTTTTTGATAAATATGACATACCTATACTTCTTTCCTTTATTGGCCTGACCTTATGTTGTGCCATAAAAGAATCAAATTTATCGAATAATTCTTATGAACCAAAATAGATAGATAAGTAGATACCTACATTTTTGGGTCAGAAAGCGTTGATGCGCTGGCCCCGTAGCACTTTCTACTCTTGCTACGTGGCTAATCCGCCACTGGTGCTAACTAAAAGCTAAAGTAAACAAACAACCATAAAATACCTGAGAGGAAGACCTATAACCCATTTTATATTTGTTGTACTGATTTTCTTCAATAACATTTAAATATATAGGACAACTGTGTATGCCAAACACAAACTCCTTATTGAAATAAATTTATTATTATTTATGATGATGACGATTACTGGTTTTGAGTGGCGTCTTAATATTCTTTCTATAAATTATACAATTTTTATGTACAAAACCTCCTTTCTAAGGACAGGCCTATGTCCAGCAGTGGACTTGTAAAGGCTGTCGATGATGATGTACATACTGCTATTTTTATCCCCCTTATTACAAAGTTCTTTTCTTTATAAATATCAATTTAAAAAAAAAACAAAATTCAAATTCAAAAAATTCAATATTCCTAACGTTTATAATTACTGTGCTAAAAATACCGACTTTCAAGACATCAAAAATTCGAATTCTTTCTATTTTTTTTTTGGAATAAAAATATTTTCTTTCGCTGGTCACAGCCTAACTTTACCCAAATGATTCACCAACAATAGAGGACACTGGCCGCTGGCCCGTCCCGCTCGCTCGCCTTCGCGTTTTAATAGACACAGTTGTAACCTAACCCAAAAAATTTAATAACAGTGGAACCGACGCAAGCATTTATAAGGAGAAGAAGAAAACACAAAAAAATAATACACAAATATTAATAACAAAGTAGACGTTTTTAAATTACATTAAACATTACTTATAGCTTTTGCATATATACATAACTGAATATTATTCTAACTGAATCAAGATCAGAATCTTAATTTTAGCAGTTTATTCGACGAATTGAAAGTCGGAATGTCGATTTTCGGATTGAGAACCCATCGACCATTTGATCCTTTTTTTTTCTGTGCGGAAATTCCCTCGTATACCACCCACCGGTGGTCATGTCGGACTCGAACCGACCAAAAACCGCACGCCGTCTCGGGTACCAGTTGCCGGAGCACCAGGTGTACCCTAGGAAGGAAAACCCTGATACCCTGATAGGACCATTTGATCCTTCGAACGTATCAAAATCAGAAAACAAAAAAGACTTTCGGTAATTCGTTATACACATGGAAAACTCGACAGTGTAAAAATATTGCAAGAAATTGTGTGTACAGTATAGCTTGAAGTAGAATTTTATAAAATATGACTCTACTAATAACTTATATATATTACTCTTTAACTTTTTGCTTCTTAAAAACTTCCAGGAACCCATATATCACAATCACCGTGCGTTAAATACGCTTATTTCTTTTTCTTTCAATTGCAAATAAGTAAGTAGTGTTTTAACTACAACCGCTTTGAAACGGATTTACAGTTTTAAGCTATTATTTGTTTTAAGGGATTTACTGAACCAGCTAAACCCTATCATGTCATGTCAATAACTTAGTATGGCTAGACAGTTTTAAGGCCATCTTGTATGAAGGTCCCATACTGACTATCTGCTGTTATAACAGTGGTGACCATTTTCACATATTTAAAGCTTGAGGACAATCAAGATAACGAGTAATGTGTTGTCGCGGTTGTTGCTTTAAAGAGATCCTATGTTGTGAATGTTTTTTTTTTAATTCTTCTACATACATAATTATTGCTTAGGTATGTGACAAACATACACAAGTTCACGGGTACGCACTAGCAACTGATTTACTACGTGTTAGTTTTATTGATCTTTATGCGTGCTTAGTTCATATTTTGATGATGATCTTATTAGAATATATTATGGCATCGCTGAGACTAATATACTGGAGCTCCAAAAGCCCCGCCCACCCCTAATCCAGGTAGCTGAACGCAAAGGCCGGTAACGCATTTGTGGCACTTAATTACAGGTGTCTGTGGACTTGCCATCAGAAGCCCTAGAAGCTCATTTGGCCCTACATCATAGAAGAAGTTGCTTAAAACAACTAATATACAAGTAGTTGATTAATATTATGTAAATATATAAATACCGAATCAGTAATCGAATTCCTGTAGTTTTTTAACAACCACATAATTAACTGTTAAAGTGGAAGGACCTTGATCGAAGTGTTTTTTGATATACTGCTTATTTTTGTTTACATTTTATAGAAATCAAATTTAAAGGATTTATGCAAATCCCGTTTGGCCAGCGTGTTATACTAGGCCAAACCTCTTTTCTAAGGAGAGGCCTATATCAAGCAGTGGACTAGTAAAGGCTGTTGATTTTGCAAATTCAAATTATCCATTACATAAAAGCGTTCACAGATAAAAAACAACAACTTTGTATGTAACATCGTGGTTACAAAAAATAAATATTAATAATGTATAACCAACCATAAAATAGTAATTTATTACACGAAGGAGTCAAATTAGTAGTACTTTCTTTGTGAATCAGAAGATTCCATTATCAACACTATGACAATATTGTAAGTATTTATGTAGGTACTAATTTTGTACTAAAAGGCTTCACGGTGTTTTGATATAAACAGTAGGTAAATTGTTTCAAACATTTATTTGCTCTTAACATACTTAGTCCTTCATTAATGGAATATTAGCTCGTCGTTCTTAAGAATGATTTAGGTACCATAAATATAATTCTTACTAATACGATAAAATTACATTAAATAAGTCTTCGTTTTCGTTACATTACTATGTTTATACAATCTGTTCGTTGGCATGTTATCGTTTCCCATAACCTGGAACAGCAAAAAAAATATGTTATAGGTATATCATACTAATCTAAGAATGATAATTGAATTTCTCTGTTCTGCTCTAAAATTGCACATAGCATTCTATATTTCCATATTATAATATATGCTCCAGTCAAAACCAGCAGCAGCTACTTTTAACTATAGTACTTTTTGACCGCAGGCTCTGGAAAATAGATGATATTAAAAGGGAAAGTAGTGTTGGTATGGTACTTGTTATCCAACAGATAACTAGTACCATATCACTGCTCAATGGGAAAGGTGACAGAGGTACGAGACAGGTTTTATTAATGTAAAAAAACCTGTCTCGTACCTCTGTCACCTTTCTTTCTTTCTGTCTTTCGTTTTTAATGTAAAAATGTAAAAAGTCAAATCTTTCGAACTAGTAACTAAGTTTGTAATACTAAACTCTGAATACCAAACTAGAGATTTCTACTAAATTTTATGTTAATGTCAAATAAAAATTCTAGTATTTGCCCGGGGTATCACTTGCATTAATATTATTTTTCTCTCTACACAGATTAACAATGATTTACTAATTGTCCCAAAAATATTTGATAATGCAGGGTTTGACCCTTAGATTCCACACTAGGATTCCCTGTGTCTTGGGATCGAGTCTCTTTCATTCCACATTCATAATTAACTAATGATTAAGAGTAAAGAAAAAAATATGATAATAAATAAGTATGCTATATATATGAATTGCGTGTGTGTGCGTGTGCTTGCCTGATGTGTGTGTGTGCGCGCGCACATGTTATTGTATGATTTGCAGCAAATCCTCAGTGCTATCATAGCGTGTTCGACTAGTATTTGTAGACCTTTATTTTACAGCGTTTAGTTACTTCAACGATACTATTATCCAGCATGGAATGGAATAGCAGGTACTTTTTTTCTCCATAAAAGGTGTTACTTATCTACTTGTTATTTTCTGTATCCCTAATAATATGTATGCAAAATGTAATGATGAATGATTAATAAATAAGATAATGAATTAATATTGATACACTTACATTCGTCCCATAAACACGGAGAAGGCTAAACAAATCAATAATATTATGTATGTTAAATATTATGCTTACCTCCTTTTCTGTAAGCTGCAGCTGACGAATGTGCACTAGCTGAACTACTGGCAAAGCTCCCTCCAACTCCAAGAGCATCTGAACTTGAAAGACTTCTTGCTCCAGCCGCTGAATAACTTCCACTGCTTTGTAAATTGTTTTGATGACTACCAACACATCCCTCACCGCACGGACTGCCCCCTTTTACTCCATTGCCTTGAGTGTTATAATCAAACGTACCAGTATTTGCATTTGCTGTCGATCCCGAAACAACAGTTGTACCAACCACACTACCACCTTGAGATCCTGTATTTGACCAAGTTCCTGTGGGTCTAGCACTATTAGTATCCAGCGCATTTCCCCCACTATAGTGCGTTCCTTGATTTTGTCCATCGGTGACTTTTGTTAGATCCAACTTTCCATTGTCGTACGGTGTTAGAAACCCGGGCGGTCCACCAAATCCTCCTGAATAAGCGACTGCATGAGCTGAGCTCGAAGCTATAGCATGAGCGCCATTCAAACCAATATTGTGCCCACTGGACGATGGTAATACTTCTTTTGGATTACAATTGCCAGAGGAGCATGTAACAGGAATTGTTAGGCCTGGTACAGGTTTATTAGGTATTGCGGTGACATCAGGCTTTGAATAATCATTAGGTTTTAATAAACCTGAAGGTCCCCCAAAACCACCTGTATAAACTGGAAGTTGTTCCTTTGATTTAAAATCAAATCCAGATTGAGCGTTAACACCACTATTTGCTGATAGAGAATCGGCGCAGTTTGAAGTTTTGCACTTGATAGAACCGCTACCGCTGGGCACATTTGTATCAGAAGGTCCTCCAGAAACAGCTGTGTATTCGGGAATAGATGGTTTTAAGTTATTATTTGGATAGGCAACACCATGCGGTCTAGACGGGACTGCATTAGGAACAGCACAATTTCCTGTTTTACATCCAGTAGGATGTCCATATAACCCAGATGAACTATTAGTATCAGCTTCACTTTTATCATAATATCCACTAGTAGGAAGACCAGCGCAGTGTCCGGTTTTACAAATCTCAGAGTTGCCATGGGTTCCAGTAGGAGTATTAACGTTAACTGCAGTAACGGGATAGCTAGCGCAATTTCCTGCTTTACAGCCTTCAAAATTTCCATATGATCCAGAAGGAGCAGTAACAACAGGAACACTACCAGGATAAGCGGCGCAATTCCCTGTTTTACATTCAGGAGTAGAAATGCCAGTTGAATGCAGTGGTTGTGTTATGGGATAACTTGGAATAATTGGTGCTACCGCCGGAGCACCAGGATATGTTACTCCAATAGGTCTATAATTATTCGTAGATCCAGAATCCAGATTTGGTACAGTGACTGGGTTAGGTACTCCAAAAGACGCTTGAGGGGTTGTGTCACCCGCACCAAAAGTATGAGTATTAGGAGTACTGTACGGAACATTGACGACATTAGGGTTTAAAACTCCAGGAGGACCTCCAAAGCCACCAGTATAAACTGGAAGTTCACTAGAAGATTCTGAAATTGGTTTAGTAGCATATCCTTCGCAATTCGGGGTTGCGCAAACTGCAGATGGTCTAGGTGAGTGGTTGCTATATGATGGAGTTGAGGAATGTACTGGTACCTTTATATCATATTCATCAGGCTTCAGCATACCAGGGGGACCGCCAAAGCCACCGGTATATATTGGTTTATTGTTAGATGCGGTTACGCTTCCACTATATGATCCTGACTGAGCAGTAGTTGATGTACCACTCACTGCAATTGTCGGAGATCCAATGCAGTTGGACGTTTGGCAGCCTGGTAACAAAATTGATGGCGTATTGTACATTGGATTTGCTAAATGTACAGGACTACTTGTTGTAGATATAGGAATATTGAATTCATTGGGTTTAAGCATTCCAGCAGGTCCTCCAAAACCACCAGTATACATTGGCAATTTTTTCTCAGACGCGTCGTCTTTTTTACTATCGTACTGTATCTGAGGATTAACACCTGGTGAAGAAAAGTCGCGGGAACAACCTGGTGCATTGCAACCCGATGAAGAACCTGCAAATGTCAGTTAATTTTTATATGTAACTTGCTTTTGCCAGCGGTTTAGCCCGCATGTATGTCAGTTATCGCGGTAAAAAGTAGTCTGTAGTACCCAGAGATAATATACTTTTCTTACATTGTAGGGGTGTTTAAAATCGGATCAATAGTACCGGAGATTATTCCAACCACACAAACTCACAAACTTTACCTCTTTATAATATTAGTATAGATATGTAATTTGCTGTTTACAAGAATATCATTAATATTTCGTTCTTCGGAACTTCTACCGAGGCACCGAACTCTCCCGTGTGTACGGGAAACATATTCTTGAAGTTATAGTCTGTTTCGTATTAGCTTATGACCAAAACATTTTGTAAAACGACAACTCGCAAGATTAAAATGCCGGTCAGTAGAAATAGATTTGAAATAACAGTTTGAACCAATACAGCTTGAACTTGGATTATAATGTATCCTTTTGTCAAATATAAATCTTGTTTTGTTAGAGACTATTCAGACCAAGAATAACCACCAGTAAAAGTTCCTTTTTGTTGGATATCACATATTCCTTTATCATATAATGGTTTATGTTTGTGACTATCATACGTACCGTGAATAGGAACACTGTAACTTGTAGGTGAACTGTCGTGACCTGTTTGGCAAATCCCTGGATTACAACCGGAATTTGCGTTAGGAGTTTCCAGATGTGTAACTGGTAAATTATAACCAGGTCTGACTTCAGAATTCGAGTTAGCTGGGTAAGAGTTGGATGAACCATGAGCAACTGTAGGCTGGGTACTAATAGCAGATGGGCCGCAATTCCCATGTTGGCAATTAGAACCAGCACTGTATCCCGCTGTTTTATCATTGAACGAGTAGTTTTTTGAGTCATGAATCGATTTGGATGAGTGAGGCACAAAGTGTATGTCATCAGATTCATCAAATTGAGATGCCGAATAACCCGATGGTGAAGTAGGGCCACATTTTCCCGAAGAGCATTTGTTGCCTGAATCATAGCCAGTAATAGAAGGTTCTGTCGATTGACACTGTCCCGATAAACACTTGTCACTGCTGCCATTGCATTGAGACCCTTGGCAACTAACTCTGGTTGTACCACCAGAACCTGCTACAGCGGCAGAATTAGCAATGTCGTAACCATTAAAGTCAGCACTGGACCCCTGATGCCCAGTATTTTGACAAATTCCAGATGTACATCCTGCATTGCCTTTCGTATCTGGACTTGAAAAGCTTCCGCGACCAGAGCTATTATAGCTAAATGAGCCAGAGCTAGAACTAGAGCTAGCACTCGATGAAGAAGCACTGGAGGAGGAAGATTTTGAAAAACTCCCTGAGAAGGCACTTCCGAACGGTACACCTACTGGTATTTCACCCTGATTTCCAAAAGAACCTGCTACGGCGCTGGATTCGGCTGAAATGTAAAACATATGATAAGTCGAATAGCTGTTCGATGACAATTTACTCTGAAACGAAATAAACGGGATACAACATAATGTGGGAGTCGCCACAGTATCTTAAATAGTAGGTGTCCTCAAGTGATATTAACCTGAGCACAAAGTAGCTATACCTACTTCATCATCATCAGCCTATCGCAGTCCACTGCTGGACATAGGCCTCTCCCATTGCATAAAATAAAAATACCTACTTAAAATGAATTAACCTCTGTAATAAGCTAAATATTTGTGAGGAGGCTGTGCCGGACTTGATGGTGAAATCGGTAATATACTGTAGGTAATACGTTGCGCTATCGTCTCTATAATGTTTTACATTAATTTATAGTTAATAAGACATAAACAAATCATAATTCAGAAATAATTAGTGTACCTTTTTATGTAATAGTAATAGCAGCTTAATTTTATCTGCTTACTCTATAGTGATCAATAATTCTGCAGATTTACATAAATGTAATTACCAGAGAAAATGAAATTACAACACATAATGGGCATTCCTAATTATTATTTAACATTATTACACTATGTACTACGTATAGAGTTGTTGGTGTTGAAGGTTATCTGCCATCATTCAGCAAGTCACTGTTATTAACTCAATATTTTTGTTAGAAAAGATAAATACCGTATTTTAACGTAGGTATTGAGGTTTTTAGGCCACTAATTATTTTTTTAGGAAGGACATTCACTCATTTATTCAACTTTTTAAACTGAATTGTTTACATGTGATCATTATTTTTTAACTACACACAATTAGACTATTTTAAGTTTATAAATTTCGCTTACAGAGACTAAGCATTCGTCTCCTTGTCACACTACTGTGTAATAAGTGTTGAACGAATAATTATTACCTTTACTAGATGTGCCTGCGCCGCCTTTGACACCATATCCATAAGGGGTAGCTGTCACTAAGCTTATAAGTATTAAAATAAAAGCACAAGCTGTGAGCTCCATCATTGTGCAACTTCTCAATCACAATGTTTTTATTCATCAGACGCTTGCTTTTATATTCCGATACAAATAGACAAATGTATATTATAACAAAAAACCAGTTGGCGTTTACTTCGAATCAAAGGTTGTATTAACGTAAGCAGAAGGTGTTATTTGCCGTGGCGATTGCTGCGTCTGGGTATAGAGGTGCTCATAAATTTATTAGTCACCCAATCATACATGATATCAATAGTAGGTAGGTATAGTGCGGGAAAACACATTGACATATAGAAACATTTTATCTCCGGTTTTGTATTTTTATTGTTGTGTTAATACTTGAGATGTGAGCTAGATACTAATTGATTGTTTCAATTTCGCACATAGGTACATAAATGTAAATTCGGTGTTTTCTTTTCTTAGTTTGTTTCTTGGTCACTAATAAAAGGACCGTTACTCCATACGATTTATAGATTGCATCTCTTAAAATAGTCCGTTTTTAGATTAGAAATTTGAATGCACTATGCATTCAAATTTCTAATCTAAACACTGATGACATCGGATGTATAAGTTCCTAAAAATGCGAAAGTTATTTGTGGGTACAGTATTATAGAAGGATATCTATCATAATTAACACGATATCAATGGTATGTAAGCTGAAATATTAAATTAGATTCCTGATATTTCCCGCAGAATTACTAAAGGTCTGCAAAAATAATTTATAAAAAACAGTATGTAAACACTTAATTGTTCAGAATAACTATTCTATTGATAGAATCCTACCCACAACATCAAATGGTCATGCACGAGTCTTCGTTTACACGCATTTTTTATGAAAAGAGGTATCCCAGGTAAACAGTCTTGAAATCTCATGGGCAAACATTTTTATGTTAATGTGAGATGACTATTAGATCCTATTCCAGCAGTTATGCGTGACATAACAGTACTGTGGAGGACATGTGACAGCAAAATTGGCGGGCTGTGTTTGCACCAGACCGCAAGCAAGCGTGGAACGCTGCATCCACCATCCATCCATATCCGGGTGACGCGCCGCCGATAATGTACCTACATACCTACTCACCGCATACTCTGCACGCATGCCTTCCTATATTTAAACAAGTTCTACATACATTAGATGACAAGTTATGCGATGTACAAAAATAGATAGTAAATACCTGTAAAGTAATAATATACGGCTTACATATTTATTTTCAATGAACAACGTTTTAATAGAAACAAAAAGAGTCTGGTGTGTTCTTTGAGCGATAATCTCTCAGAAGTATATAACTTGCCAGCCTCATGTACGATCGTAAGTAATTTTAGGGGTCAAGGTTTTTAACTGGCTGCTGCTTATAGGATGTGTATCTTTGACATTGATTTTATAGTATGACTTAACTCCATGTTCGAAGCGGTTTAGTTAGGGTTACTTTGTTTAACAATAACTAATGTTTTCCTCTTTGGTTCAATTTCGGAGAATCAAACAATTCGAAGGTCAATACTATAACTAATGTTCTGCAATGTTTTAGGCAGAATTTTATTGCATGAGTATTCCTACTTATATGCATATTACATATTTTAGTATGCCAGTAACGGTTGACTTCGTTTTCAAATTCATTTAATGTTACAATTTCGTCAAACGTTTGTCAATGCATTAAACATACGATACAAATTTGGTATTGACAGACCTGTTGGTCTAGAGGTCAGTGATCCTGACTGCTAAACTAGAGGTCGTGGGTACGATTTCCACAGAAGAAATAACTGTGTGATGTGTACGTATTGAAAATCTCTTATATGCTTGTGCTGATCTACAACCGCCCATTTCCAAGGGGTTGAGCCTCATGAGAAGAAAGGGCACGATAAGCACAATCATTTATTCTGTCCTATTTTTTATTTATTATTTAACGGGCAAGCCAACATATTGTTGCGCTATAGGATTAAATGTTTCAATTGTTCCAGAATTGTATGGAATGTGAAGGACAGTGCCAACTAGTATCGAGTAAAGACAAACTATTAAGATTGTGGTTAATAATTCTGATCCTTACAGCGCGTTAGCGTTAGCGCCATCTAGCGCTGCAAGTTACGCGTGACTGATGCTGGAATATTCTTGTTTGTCTGGAACGGACTATCGAATACTAGGGATCATTCTAGTAAATTCGAGAGCGCTATAAAAGCGGAGCGTATTCGCCGTACGACACAGTATTGTTTTACGACACAGCGAATTAACATCGAAGTGAATATCCGGTGCGACTAACGAATTATATAGTGATTTCTTGATAACACTCACTAAAATACAGTAAAAGTATTTAACCGACAACTTTTATTTGTTATATACCCCGCTCGTAACAATATTTTGACCAAGGTGCAGAGTTTGCGAAGTTATATCTTGTAGAGTTAGAAGCTTGGCTGTACATGAAAAAACAGTGCGAGCTACCTACATTTTACATGAAAAAGTTTTTGGTTGGATTTCACTTCTTTTTGTAAGTTGCTTATGGTATTATTTATAACGAGGAGTTTCTATATCAATTTACAAACATGTAGCAGTCTCATATAAACTTCCCTCCCCTAGTTTAAGGGGTTGGGAAGTTTTTACTTCCCTTTAAACTTGGAATTTTTATTCCAAGTTTTAGAATTTTTATATTGTTTGTGTACTAATACCAGCTTACATAATAAATTTCAGCTCCGCGTATATGCATGCCTCTACAGGTCTCATAGCGGTGACACCGAAACTGACCGACTGATAGACCACGTCCAAATGGCTACAGATTCTGTGCTGCAGCAGATCGCATCCATCGTGATTCTTGGCGACTTTAACGCTCACTACGCCGAATGGCTTGGCCCACGTAAAACTGATCACGTGGGGAAATCTGTTCACGGTTTCGCCCTGACCTATGGCTTGTCACAACTGGTATCAACACCCACACGAGTCCCAAATATGGAAAGGGCGAAACCCGAGGAATTTTCAGCGGGAAAATTAAACATTTTATGCAATCAGCTGTCAAAGGTAAAGGTAGATATTGCATAAAGTAATAACTATATTTGTATTCCGTGCGAACAGTCCACGCGTACTAACACAGGTGAAGCGCACGGTGGAATGGCTCACGCGCTCCGGCTGTTATATTAAATACATTGCAATTTTCGACCGTACACGGTATTTTTTGAATTATTTTCTGGTAAAATGTTCTGGTTACTCATTGTGATATTCACATTTTTCATCATTTTTAACTATAAATATGGAAAATTTTAAAAAAATTGAATGAATTTGCCGGCAGAAGATTCCAATAATTTTGGACTCTATTCGTTCCGATGTCCCTTACACCCTGTATTAATCTTTTTTTATGTTAGAGGGGGCAGACCAGCAGACGGGTTACCTGATGGAAAGTGGCCAGCGCCGTCCATAAAGGTCTGCAACTCAGGAGTCACAAACACGTTAGGAAGAAGTACGCTCTTTTTTGAAGGTTTGAAGGTCGCATCGGTCTGGAAATACCTCAGACGATAACCTGTTCCACAGATTGGTTATGCGAGGCAAAAAGTGTCTCGAAAAGCGCACAGTAATGGAGCGCCAACTATCAAGATGATGGCGATGAAAATTTTTCGGAAAGGCGGAAAGTTGCCGCCGGTATCAGTCCGAACAATTCCTGGGAGCCCTCTCCGTGATATATACGATATAGAATGCAGAGCGAAGCAACATCTCTACGTAACGCCTAGGGATTGAGCCGGTCGCAAATCTTTTGGTTATGGACGATTCGAGTCGCTCTTCTGTATCCAAAGAAGAGCGGTCCAGATGAAGAAGCTTATGTGGTGCCCCTGCATAGAGATGAGAACAGTATTCCATATGCGGCACGGACGTAGCCATGGGAAGGGTTTTTGGGGTTCAAACCCACCCCGAAATCTTTGAGAGGCGAGCAGCATAACCAATTACTAATTATTACCTACACTAATATGTATTTTGAATTTTCGCTCTATCACCCGCCGCCACTTACACGAGAGTAAGTATTTAGTAATTACATTTCATTTTTAATCAATTCTAAATGTGCAGTGTAGAGGAATAAAAAATGACGGTTATTTTCTAACTGGGTTAATTTTTCGGATAATATTTAACGGATTCTGTTCAAGTAATTAATTAAATATCGTGTCCAGAATACTTTGTAGGTACCTGTTTCACTTTGCGACGGAGTTAAAAAAAAATATCTTAAGTATTGTTTGTTGATTGATAGATGGCACTTTGTGAAACTTGCTGCACATATTGAATAAAACCACTTGTATACAAAGTATACAAAAAATTTAAAACTAAAACTGTTTCACAACATTTACTGTTTAAACCTGACCGTGGTTTTCTTAATATCCTTCTAGAATGCCGTGAGGTGAAATCGGTCAGGTTTAAAAAGTAAATGTTGTAGAACAGTTTTAGTTTTAAATTTTTTGTATACTTTTAAAATAAATTAGGATAATTAATTACATTGAATAATTTGCCTTATATGGCAAGTTTCCGTTCTATTTTATATTTTTATTTTGATTGATTACCTTATTTTATTTTTATTTTAAATTAGCATGTGTATTATGATCACATTTAAAAAAAAATTGTTCGAATACTGTCTAATTTCATAACTGGTAATTGATAATTTTAAGTCTGCCCATGTTAGAGGCCATGCCGAGTGTAGGAAGACTTTGTAGAACCTGACAAAAGCAGTTAAGGAGCACGGTTTAGGTTATTGTAAGACTCTATCTTTTACTATTGTTCTGCATCTTTTGTTATAGTTCTTTGCGCACCAGGATAGGCGCGGGAAAGTGGAGCTGGGGGACCGTTGCACGAGGCCCAGGATGCACATTCCATCAGTCCTTCCGGCAGTCCGTCGCGAGCCTTTGCACAGTTCTGGATCACCCCCGAGCGAGTCCCATCCGAGTAATTATGTAGTTACCACGTGTACGGCAATAGCAATTGGATGTGACGCCAGAGGGATGGGATTCAGTAACTGTTATCTTGTGTCGGTCTCAATGCGCGTAGTTCTTATTGCTGTGAAAATGTGAGTTAA